CTGCACTAACAAGGTAAAATCCCTCCCCCCCTCCTCTTTCCTTACCTCTTCCACACTTCCTCCCCTTCCTCCTTCTCCTTCTCCTCCTCCTTCTCCTTCTCCTTCTCCTTCTCCTCCTTCTCCTCCTTCTCCTTCTCCTTCTCCTCCTTCTCCTCCTCCTCCTCCTCCTTCTCTCCTTGCCGCTACTTCGTCCACCATCCAACTTCTCCGCCTCCTCCACCACCACTTTCCCCTTCCTCCATAATTTCCTTATGAACACCTCGAACTCCCCTCCTCCTCCTCTGATTCTTCTTGATTGCAGAAGCAACTGGAAACCTTTCTACGCAGCTGCGTCGAGAGGTGACTTATACCCTCCACCACCACTACCTCCTCCTCCTCCTCCTCCTCCTCCTCCTCTTTCTCCTCCTTCTCTTTCTCCTCCTCTTCCTCCTCCTTCCCCTGCTACTCGTCCTGCTCCTGCTCCTGCTCCTCCTCGGCGTTTGAAGTATGTGCTCGCAGCTACGGAGACGAGTCAACGACGCAACTCTTCGGCTACATGCTGTGGACGGAATGGGACCTGGCGTACACCTGGAGTTAACGAGGGAAGATGGAGGGGGAGGAAGGAGGAGCACTTGATAGTAGACATCGTTGTGAAGCGATGAAGGTGTTGGTGGAGCCTGGGCGACGGAGGAGGAGCAGAAAGAGAAGCACATGGAGGTAGAGAAGAGAAAGGGGAGGAAGGAGAAGCACTGAGTTGACCAGAAGATTGTCCCGGAGATCAACGACTTTGATGATCAGACTACCACCACTGCACTGCAGTCACCCGGCCGCCTGCAGTTCGACTACCAGTCACTGCACGGCACTGCTAGTTACTAACTTGTCAACCAAGTTGCGATTCACGTCCTGTGCGCCGGAGCCGCAGAATTCGAGCCATAACTCAGTGACTTGCGGCAGCCCGGCCAGTTACTCGCCGAACTCCCCTCACCGTTCACGGGTGCCAAGCATAAGTTGCCAGGACTCGTCACTCGCAGTGGCGCGGCCCTTTACGAGGAAAATGAGGAGAGTCGAGGAGGCTTGAGTCACCGTTGCAACGTCAAGAAGTCCGACTCGGTTGACGTTGGGCACTGCAGTGTGCCCCGGCGCCGACGAACGATCGGAAGCCGACTCGGAATGAGGCCAGGGAGGCCTTGAAGTTGAGCTGACGAAAGTGACTCGGAACAGGACTCGGAAGTCCAGTCGAACTTTCGACCGTACGGCGACTGAGAGCGCCGCCCCCCCGCAGTCTGGGGAACTTTCGGAAGGCCCGGCCGGCGGCGGCGTACCCGGGGCCCGGCCGGCGCGCGATGATTAGTGATCCGGCCGAGCCCGGGGCCCGGCCCGGCCCGCCGGGGCCAGCTCGGGGAGCGGAGAACCCCTCCAGGGAATGACAAGGCAACCTCTACCCCCCCTTGAGAGCATGAAAATAACCCCACCCTCATATGGGCGGATCTCCTCCGCATCCTTTTATGGATGACCCCACCCCCTTCTTCACATTAAAATCAGGACCACCTACCCCTCCTCACTCCCCCTCTCCTTTGCTCCTCCACTGACCACAGACTTTTTAAAATCAGTACGAGGACGACTTTTTAAAATACGACGTAGTTACCAGGGGTGTTGAAATGCCATGGAGGGGTCAAATGAAGGCATTTTGTACCGCAAATGGATCTAGATAGGTAGGGTAGGGTGGTATTAGTGAGGGGGTGGGATGTATGAGGGGAATTCAAAAAAAAAGTTTTGTTTTTCTTGACCAATATACCCCCACCCCCTCATAACGTAGTCTACTACCCCTCCTTTTCAGTACCAGATCAGCTCCCTTGAATTATACATTATAACCATAATAAAAGATCGAACGGGATGCGAGAGAGAGGTGGAAGGGAGAGGGAGGGGAGGGGGAGGGGAGAGGGAGGGGAGAGGGAGGAGGGAAGGGAGGAGGGAAAAAGAGGACGGTTATCCATGTAGGAAAGCATTCCAGAGCTGAGATTTGATGTGCAGACCTGCGGGGTGAAATGAGGAGGAACGAAAACAAACTTGTGCCGAAGAGTGTTGAAGAATAGTCTGCGAACAAAGAGAAAGACAATCATAGAAGCAGTCAAATGTAATGGAAAATATGCAAACAAGGGATGAAGGAGATCACAGGAAGGGGATAAGAGGGTGGGCACGCATACTTGAGCAGAATCTTTTAGCATGTGCTCTTGATCAAACGTCCAGTTTGTGACGGATTGCTTTCAGTATTCCCATGTCACTTTGAAGCTTTGTGGCGCCAAGCAACGATGGACGGTCTGGTAACCATCGCAAGGCAGATCTCTGCCCTCACTTACAAGAACCTCGTGCTCGCCAAGAGGAACTACACCTCCACTTTCCTCAGGATCTTCGCGTCCCTCTTCTTCATCCTCCTTATCTACCTGTGTAATGAGGGGATCAAGGCCCGTTTCTCTCAGGAGTCCTCGGTCAAGGATGTCCCCGACCCTGTTCCTACCGAGAAGCATGGGATCCCTGACTGCATCCCCAAGGTCGAGAAGGGCTGTGTGACTTTCAGTTACGCCCCTGCCCCGAACAACGAGTTCAACCCTTCCAAGGATTACGCCGCTTTCAGCGATTTCTTCACCGATCTGCCGCAGAGGTGAGCTGAGGCTGAGAAGGGGAAGCAGGTGAGCTAAAGGTTGTCCGTATACCAGCTTGAAGGATGCCTGCCCTGCGTGCCAGTCAGCCAACTGCCTGACGGACAATGTGATATCGATTCGAACCCCGCGAGCGTGTTTGCGGTATCGTTGACCAGGGGCACCAGGTACCGAGTTGTCAGACATGCTGCGAGATGTTCCGAGTGCACAAGGTCTGTTCAGCTGGTGTCGAGCTGTGCTGATGGGTACCAAGGTGGTTCGTGGGCTGATGAAGCACAACGGGTCGTCGGTGTCCTCCAAGGACGTCTACCCGATCCTTCCCGAAAAGGTCCGAGCGTCTTCCTCTCGCAGATCTGGCTGAGAGTGCTGTCAGGTCGTTGGGTTCCTGAACGAGACAGAGATGGACAAGTGAGTGACTATACGCCTGAACCCCTCTCCGTCACTCACCTGGTTTCCAGATTCATCCTCAAGAACATGAACTACGTGCAGGGGAGTTATGTCTTCTACTCGCCGAACAACAACACCTTCACCTTTGTGCGTAGGCTTCCTTACCCCTCCCTCCCTCCCTCCCTCCCTCCTCCCTCCCTCTCTCCTTTCCTCCCTCCCTGCTAAATACCGATATTGATCCATGGCTATTTTCGCAGCTCGTGCAGCAGAACGGAACGTCAGCGGACGTGGTAAGGGGAGAGTGGACGAGTCCATACATGGAGTACACGGTTCCCATGCAGCTCGTCGCGCACAGAGAGATCGCCAAGAATGTGTTCTTGAAAGATGAAAACTTCAAAGTACAGATCGCAATCCAAGAGTTTGCTCACCCCGCTTTCGTCGTGTCGACGTTCGAGGGTCAGATCGCTCCTCTCTTTCTCCTGGCCTGCTCCATGTTCCCCTTTGTCATCCAGATGAACGAGATCGTGGCTGAGAAGGAGCTGAAGCTGCGGCAAGTGCTCTCCGCAATGGGGCTGAAAGATTTCTCCTACTGGATGTCTTGGCACTTGTTCCAGGTCTGTGCGCTCCTCCCCACCACCTCCCCACCATCCTCTGACTTTCACCTGTCGTTGCAGTCCTTCATGGCGCTCCTCTACTCCTTCCTCCTCGTCCTGTTCGGCATGGCCTTCCAGTTTCGCCTGTTCCTCAAGAACGACTTTGGGATTCTCCTCATCACCTTCTGGATGTTCGGCCAGTCCATGATCGGCCTGGCCTTCCTCCTCGGCTCTTTCCTCCGACGAGCTGCGCAGGCTGTCACTGTGGGGTTTGCTGTCTTCCTGATAGCCTTCATCTTCTACTTCGTCGTCGTCTTCGGCTTCCCTTACGGGCTGTACAAGGGGCAAGCTCCCTTCTCCTACCAGTACAACATCACCCAAGGAGCCTATACAGTCAAGTCGAGCGGAGGGGACCGGGCGGCAGAGCCTCTGTTCTCCTTCTTCCCCCCCTCCCTCTTCGTCAAGAACCTGGCAGACCTCGGGGCACTAACGGCGACGGACAAGGACCTCGGGATCCGCTTCAGCGAGGCCTACTCCTACTGCACCATCAACCCCAACCAGTGTAACCCTTCTTACTCCGTCGGCACCTCCTGGAGCTGGTACATCGGCCTTTACGTGCTGTACTCGCTCGTCGGCCTCTACCTCGAGAACGTTCTCCCTGACGCCATGGGCGTGAAGAAAGCGCCCTGGTACTTCCTGACGCCTGCGTACTGGGGCTTCACAGAAGCACACATCCATGACGACCCCACGTTTGTGATCGAGGAGAGCACTGACGAGGACGTGCTGGCGGAGGAAGCGAGCGTGAAGGCGAGGGCAAACGAAGAGATGAAGGAGGAGGCGGCGATCGAGATCCGAGGGCTGAAGCAGACTTTCAAGCGAGGAGGGAAGCCGTTCCATGCCGTCAAAGCCCCCTGGTTTGCGGTCGCCAAGAACCAGCTCTTCGCCCTGCTGGGGCCCAACGGAGCTGGGAAGACTACGACTATCAACATGCTCACAGGCTTCCTCCCCCCGACGGCTGGAAACGCCCTGGTGTTTGGAAACACAGTCGCCCATCCCAGCGGCATGAACCGAGTCAAGCGCGTCATTGGTATCTGCCCGCAGTTTGACATCTTGTGGGAGAGGCTGACGGCTCGGGAGCACCTGATCATCTTCGCGATCATCAAGGGGATCAAGCCGGACTCCGTGTACCACGAGGCCGACAAGCGGATCGAGGAGGTTCGGCTCAACGACGCCGCCAATCAGATCGCCGGGTCGTTCTCAGGAGGGATGAAGCGACGCCTGTCCGTCGCCGTCTCCCTCATCGGCAATCCCAGCGTCGTCTACCTGGACGAGCCGACGACCGGCATGGACCCCATCAACCGACGTCACGTCTGGGACGTGATCGAGGCGGCCAAGCAGGACAGGTGCGTCGTCCTCACCACGCACAGCATGGAGGAGGCGGACATCCTCGGCGATCGCATCGGCATCATGGCCAAGGGTCGACTGAGGTGAGAGAGGAAGCGTGTGCTGGCGTAGCCTGAGGGCTGAGGCAGGTGCATCGGGAGCAGCGTGCGACTCAAGTCTCGCTTCGGAGGAGGGTACCGGATCAGCGTCAGCTGCGGGGACAACATGACAAAGTCCCTCCCGCACTGCATTAAGATCAAGGAGATGTTCAGGAAGACGTTCAAGGTGGAGGTGGTGGAGGAGTCCAAGACTTATATGCACTTCAACGTCCCCAACACCGACGATGCCACCTTGCAGAGCTTCTTCGAGCAGCTAGAGTCCAGCAGAGAGTCTCTCTGCATCGTGGACGTGCAGCTGAGCATGTCGACTCTAGAGGATGTGTTCCTGAACATCGCGAAGCAGAGCGAGAAGGAGGAGGCGCTGTCGATGAACAGAACCGCCAACGTGACCCTCAAGACAGGGGAGGTAGTTGGAGTCCTGCTGGGCAATGAGGACGAGCTGGTGTCGCCGGCCGGGGTCACCTTCAAGGTCAAGTGGGGGACGGACGAGGACGGGAACTTGATCGCGGTCGACACGGAGGAGAAGGGAGGGCAGAGCAAGTCCATCATGGTCACAGTACCCGAGGGCGTGCGAGGAGGAGAGCAGGTGGAGGTGCAAGTTGAGGGACAGGCCTTCAACGTGACGGTACCGGAGGGAGCAGCTCCTGGCAGCACGTTCCAGGCTCAGGTGATGGTGGATACAGCGCCCGGGCTCACGTCCACTTCCTCGGAGACTGCGCTGGTGAAGCTGACAGAGGAGGAACTCCAGGAGAGGGTTGAGAAGCTCCAGACTCCCTTCGCGCAGCAGGCCAACGCTCTGTTCAAGAAGAACTTGTCGCTGCAGAGCAGGAAGTGGGTGACTAACTGCTGCCTTCTGCTTGTACCTATCTTCTTCATCGCCATCATCCTCCTCCTCCAGCTCCTCCTGGAGATCGTGTTCCTCGGTCAGCCGACGGTGCGGTGCCCGTACTGCGGCCCTTCCGACGATTCCTTTGGGAAATCTTATTGTGAGAGGAGGAGGAGTGGGAGGGAGGACTAGGACGAGGACAAGGACGAGGACGAGGAGGAAGAGGGAGGAGGGGGAGGAGGCGTGAGGTCGTTGACTTTGTCTGGCAGGTAACGGCAAGAACTGTGCTGATTATTTCTTCCCTGCATCATCTAAGAACGTGAGACGTAGAAGTGTTGATGAATGATCATTGAGATGATCTTGCTGCTTCTGATTGTGATGATGATGATGATGATGATGATGATGATGATGATGATGATGATGATGATGATGATGGAGGTGATGATGATGATGATAGAGATAACAAGTAATGATGATGGAGATGATGATGAAAATGATAACTTCGCAGCTGATGTGTTCTCCAGGACTACATCAAGAAGTTCGGTGTCGACGTCAATGCACAGTGCGTCGCAGTGAGCAAGACTTGTCCGGGCAAGGGAGACCCGACATGTTTCCTCCCCCAGTACGCTGAGAACACTCAGTTTGCCTTCTGCCCAGTCGACATTGGCATCAAGCAGCCCAACTTGGGATACAGCACCCCCGACGTGTTTCGGTCCAAGAACCCGATCCTGTACACGGGGACGACCGACTTTGCTAGCAAGGTCGCGAGCAAGCTGATCCCCAAGGAAGAGGACACTAGCGCCTACATGAGCTCCATCGAGAGCCTCACCAGCAGCCTCATGTTCTCCCTCTTCCTCATGGGCAAGCCGCCGCTCAAGGTCGGCTGCTCCTTCGACGACCTCTCTCCCCAACAGAGGAGCGCGCTCTGCCGCATAGTCCAGCAGGCCCAGGGCACCGACGAGCCCTGCTGCCTCGACTTTACCACCCCGGCTGACATCTCGGGCAGTTTGCGGTTCGGTGTCAACTACTGGAGCGACAATGTGAACCACACGGACGCCTCCTTCAACTCCTCCCTCAGCACCCTCATGTCCGAGGGCAAGACCTCCTCGCAGGCCATCGCCGACATCCGCCAGCTCTGGAAGCAGCAGGGTGCCATCTTCGCCGATGGCAAGGGCAAGGCCTCGTTCCTGCTGGCCCTCAGCTCGGACTCTGTCGGGAAGCTCATGGGGCCCCTCTCGCAGTACATCCTCTTGCTCAGTCAGGGCATGACCGGGTTCCGCTGTGCGAGGCCGATTCCTGCTGGGGAGGAGGTGGGGAGACAGCTGGGGGCAGAGCTGGCGAAGCTGAGGCAGGCCGACACGTGCGTGTCGGTGGACGCCGGGCTGGCAGTGATGGCGAAGCTGACGGGGATGGGCGGGAGCTTGTACCCCTCGATCACCTCGTTCCCTGTGAAGGTCAACAACGTGGAATACTACTCAGACGTGGAAGGGTGAGCTACAGTACTCCTCCTCGTTCTCCTCCTCGTCCGCCTTCTCCTTCCCCTTCCCCTTCCTTCTCCGTATTGCTGCGCTGCTCTGCTCCAGTCTTGTCAGTACTTCTTCCCTTCCTGCGCTCCCCTCCTCTCCTCCCCCTCCTCTCGACTTCTCTACTTCCACTACTTCTCCACTCTCTACTTTCCTTCCTCTTCCCATGTCGTCAGCGGTCCTGTGAGGTCGATGCCGGCACTCTGACTTGTTGCAGTCGGTGGGCACAGCAGTGCGACTTCTACACTCAGCCCCTGATGTCGATGCTCAAGACTGAGAAGAACTTGGGGCTCGGGAGGTGAGGAGATGAGATCGCAATAGATTCTTCCTTGGACCTCAGTTGACCCCCCCACTGCACTTGCCTCCTCTTGAAGTTTTTCCTCTCCTCTCCTCTCCTCTCCTCTCCTCTCCTCTCCTCTCCTCTCCTCTCCTCTCCTCTCCTCTCCTCCCCTCCCCCTCCCCTCTCCTCTCCTCTCCTTTCCTCTCCTCCCCTCTCCTCTCCTCTCCTCTCATCTTCTCTCCTCTCATCTTCTCTCCTCGCATCTTCTCTCCTTTCCTCCCAAGCTGACATCCACCGCAGCCTTGCCCTGCTCAACGATATCCCCTGCCTCTGTGTTGGTCTCCAGCTGGTCAAGCTTGTAATCCCAGCTCTCCTCCTTCCCGCAAACATCAACCTGGGGGGCATCCTGATGGACCTTCCGGCCTCCACCACCTGCTCCGACCCGCAAACTTGCCGCCCTGACTCTCCCATCGGCTTCTTCAACAACCCCAGCATGCGATGGGCGACGCCCATATGGCCGGACACAAGCTTCTTCATCGAGAACGCTCTGGGCTCGAACCCCAAGTTCTGGTGGAACCAGCAGCACGTGCTCACTGCCGAGCAGAAGGCGAGCTGGAAACCGGTTGTCAACAAGTGCACCCAGAACTGCTGGGAGAAGAACGGGACGTCGAGCGGGCTGCTGAACATGCTCGCCGACGACTGCTCGGCCTCCTCCTCCAGGTACTGCTTCTTCTTCCAGGTGGCGAACATGAGCGGGATCAAGACCGAGTGCATCTCATCAAGGCCCAGCAAGGTCGCGAGCCTCTCCCAGCTCAACTCCCAGCTGTACAACGGGTTCTTCGACCGCTTCTCCTCCAAGCAGCAGACGATCACGGAGTACATCAGCGCGTTCGACTTCCGGAACTCCGACGAGCAGCTGCTGAACATCTCGATCCAGTACAACGACACCACCTTCCCCTCCAGCTCCGGGGGCGGAGGTCCTAAGAACCTGGTGCGCATCCTGGCGTCGGTCAGCGCTGCCATCGACGCGTTTCTGAATGCAAAGTTGAAGCCGGAGGGGATGCAGTACGCGGGGAGTTCGATGGGAGTGAAGGAGATGCCGCAGTCAGCATGGAAGCTGAACCTTGACCTCGCCTCCTCGCTGGGTCCCTTCTTCTTCACCCTCGCGTTCTCGTTGCTGTTCCCGACCATCGTGGTTTCGATCGTGTATGAGAAGGAGATGAAGCTGCGGGTGAGATGAGATGGAAAGGATGTTGTTGTGGTTCTTGTTGACGATGATGATGATGATGATTTGTTGTTGTCTATGATGATGATGATGATGATTGTGAAGATGATGATGATATCTCTGGAACCTGTGCAGCCCTCTCTTGAGTTTCCCATGTCCTCCTTAGCTCACTTTTTCTGCCAGGTGATAATGAGGATGATGGGCTTAGAGAACGGGCCATACTGGGTGATCAACTACATCTTTTGGTTCCTGATCTACGTTCTCTTCTGCTTCCTCATGCTACTCATCGCCTCCCTCGCTCAACTGCCCTCGGGCTACAGGATCGGCCTCTTCACCAAGCAGGAGCCGAGCGTTCACTTTGTCTTCTTCTTCCTCTTCATCCACCACACCATCGCGCACGCCTTCCTCTGGACGACAGTCCTCCGCTCGGCTCGCACCTCCTCCATTTGCGCGACCCTCTTCGTCCTGGGCTTCTCCCTCATCGCCTGGCTCTGCTGGGGTTTCGGAAACTTCTTCAACTCCCTTACGGTGGCGGACTCGCTACGGACGTTCATCACCATCTTCCCCCTCTGGAACTTCTACCGGGGGCTGTCGGAGTACTACGAGTACGCGTACGCGGCGTCGAGGAGCGGAGGGACGGGGCTGACGTGGGCTAAGATGGCGAATGATCCAAGGTAGGGGAGGAGGAGGAGGAGGAGATGACGATGATGATGATCATGATCATGGTGATGATGATGATGACGATGACGATGATGATGTGGAGGAGTCGATGAAGAAGGCTATCTTGTTTGATCTCACTGGATAGTTGTTCTTCACTTTCTCTCTCTGTCTCCTCTGACTTGTCTCTCAGGTGCGGCATGCCGGCTGTCTTGATCATCCTCGCCGTGGAGTGGGTTGTTTTCCTGATCTTCACCTACTACCTCGACCAGGTCTCGAAAGTTTCTTGTTTCCTCTCACTCTCGATTGCGTCCAACTCCATAACATCTTCGTTGTTTCTCTCTGCTTGTTGATGTCATGATCGTGATATCTGCCATTCGTTCTGTTGCCATCCTTATTTCACGTGATCGACGTGGTGAAGTCATTGCCATCACCTTGTCGTCGTCCGTCCACATCATCCCCATCAACAACAAAATCGTCTTTCTTCATGTTTGTTGTTTTCGTTCCATCTTGCCATCCTGTTCTTCTCATCATCATGATTTCGACGGCACGATCGCCATCCTCGCCTTCTGTCTGCTACCGACGACAACAAGACGACTTGTCTGCTTGTTGTCAATGTTCTCAACTTCTCGCCTCCACGTTCTCCTTCCTCTCCACTCCCCGTTGGCCGCTTCTCATCTCGCGCCACCTCTCAGGTGCTTGACTCCGGGCATGGCATCCCCAAGCACCCGCTGTTCTTCCTGGGATTCAAGAACCCTGAGGTGAGAGGAGGAGGAAGTGGAGTAGCGAGGCGAGCAAGGGGAGACCAGGGAAGAAAGTAGATACTGCCACGGAAGAGCAGCAGCAGCAGCAGCAGCAGCAGCAGCAGCAGCAGCAGCTCGTACAAGAGGAGTGAGTGTAGAGAAAGAGTGTGCAT